TCAAAGACGTCGCATCACTGTTGGTTTTACAACTGAATGCTACCCTAGATAGTCATTCAGTGTGAAACCAACAGTGATGCAACGTCGGCTAAAATCGTGCAGTGTGAACTCGGCATAAGAGACTTCTTTCAAAAAACATTTTAAAACATCTTACTGACCCCAAATTTTTGATTGATGATGATTTATTATTATTATTGTTATTATTATTGCCTTAATGGATTTGTGCCCTTCAAATGTTATCTTTCAGTTGAGTAAGGACTTGGTCATATGGTGGGTCAGGAAAAGATTAACTAAACCACTAACTCTATCAGACAATGTTGTTCCGCCTCATCAAAACTCCCTGTGACACAGTTATCCCATTTTATCCAAACATTTAACTTTGCAGAGCGCAGTGTCTGTACAGCTGTCACTTACGCTACGGCGTCCCATGTTGAAATGCGTTCCTCTTTCGTCATCCATCACTGAACAGCTTAAATGAAACGAATAGAATGGGAGGGGCTGGGCGGTACCCCTGGATCACAGCCAGATGTGTTGCTCCTACCTTGTTGGATAAATTACACTGACCTTGCTGAACTTTGAACTTCTTCTTGAAGTGAAATTTTGCTGGTTGTTTTTGCCTACAGGGTGAAGTTTCTATTTAAGGTCGCGTTACTGAAATAATGATAGTCTACGGTGGTTTAAGTTCTAATTAGATTACCCAATGGAGACTGTTAAACATGCCAACACGTCAAACAAACTTCCAGCCTCTGCCAGAGTGATGCAGAACACTTTCATTTGCTTTTGCTTCTCTAACAGTCTCTGCTCTTAGAGTAGCTGGCTGGCTTACACGGTTCTTGTTCATCCAGTTTAATTAGAGCCGTTTGTGTTTTGGTTCTAGGCGCCTTAGCTGATGGAAAGATCTCGTCGTGTTTGAAAGTCCTCAGGAGTTGGTGTATCTCCTCTGCTCAGCCTGTTCAAGTCCCAAATCAGGCCAGACTTCAGTTCTGTTCAAATCTTCCCCACCTACTGCTTTTGAAGGGACTGGAGAAGTTTATTCGCTGTGTTTGGGCGCTACAGGGCAGGTTCATCTGAATGTGGTTAGAAGTAAGCTCAGTATTGTAGCCAAAGCAAAAAAATATATATTTATGAGACTGAATGGGATGAAATGAGCCAGATGTTAGGAAAGGATTTGTGGAAAGCTTAGTTAAAATGTTAATTTTTTTTAATACAAATGTGAATGTATTCTAATCCCATTGACTTTTAATTTTTTTGGTCAAATGTATTTCTCAGAGAATTTTTATCAATGGAAATGAAAGACTAAAGCACTACTAGCATTTGTCATCATGTAACACCCTATTTATTAAACAATATAAAAAGAGACACTAATTGAGTTTGTATTATTTTAGCTCAGAATTCTAGCCATTTTGAGCTTGTTGTACTGGTTAGGACATAATGGAAAAAATTTGTCAAAAGTTCTGTTAAACCTTTATACTCCGAGCTGTGCATTTCTCTTGCAAGTAAATATACCACTTTGCAGACAGGCATCATGTTGTTGAGCAGTATAGGTTTTATCTATTTCTTTTTAAATATCTTAATTTGTTATTTAATTGCTTTTCGCTCTAATAGTCAAAATAGTGAAATCAATGTCAAAAAAAAAAAAAGTTTGGATGCGCAAGAAACATTAATGCTGCTGAACCGTCTGTCTTCAGTTACTGAGGTTGAGGGGATTGAATAGAAAATAGGAATAATTAAATAATTTGTATGAGCAAAAGCATTATTATATACAGTGGGTACGGAAAGTATTCAGACCCCCTTAAATTTTTCACTCTTTGTTATATTGCAGCCATTTGCTAAAATCATTTAAGTTAATTTTTTTTCCTCATTAATGTACACACAGCACCCCATTTAAGGGGGTCTGAATACTTTCCGTACCCACTGTATATTTATGTTTTGTCTGAGCAGAATGTGTGTTTGTTTGTTGCTCAAGATCTGTAATGTGAATTGATGAATGTGAATGTAGCCTGAATCTCTTTGCCCTAACCCTTTTTTTACAAAACCTTCCCAAGTTCTTCATACCCGATCATTAGGATTGGATAATGCACATGGTCATGGTTTGAAAGTGCATGGCATGTGAATTTTTTAACAATAAAGACATATGTAACCCTTGTGGGTGTTTTTCTTTTATTTTCTTAATTCTTCCATGCTTTTCAATAGCTTTTAATCGATTGGTTAAAATTCGAAGGGCGGGGAAATCGCTGGGAGAAGCGATTGCTCAGAGGGAGGCTGAGTTCCCTGATGGGCAGGTGGCTGGATTGTTCCGAAAGTTTCCGGGCCGCAGGAGAAAACATGCCACTCTGAATCAGGAGGCTTAACCTCTGTCCTAGAATACCCTCTGTGTGGATGTCGATTACTCTAATGGCTTCACTGTGTGACTTTGTCTATGGGCGGCCTTTTAAATCTCTTCCAGTCCACTTGTCTTGTCCTTCTACATAAATGCCCCAATTCCTGTCTGTGTTTTGGAGCTGGCACCAAAAAAATCCTGTGACAAGCCTTGGGGTTAAACCCCAAAATGCAGCCAGAGTGGTTAGGGAAAGTTTGCAAACCGTGCTCATCATAAACTATTCAGTCTCACTTTTTGTGAGATTTTGCATCCCTGATAGTTTCTCTTTTTAACGGTGTTCGTAAAATTTAAATGAATTCACCCAAAAATGAAAATTGTCATTAACTTTTGGAATGGCATGAGAGTGAATAAATAATAATGGTTTTCATTTTGTGGTGAACTATCCCTTCAAGTATGAGTTCTGAGTTTGAAAATATTGATGAGAAACAATGTCTTTCTGGCACTCAAAGTGTACCGTCTCACGAAAAGGGACATCGTTGGTTGCCAAAGTGGATACTTTGTTTTCTGTTGTTTTCAGTTTTTCAATTCCCAAACTATTTTTAAAATAAGGACTCCACGCCAGATTTTAATGAAATCCAGGCGACTGAAGTCATATCACACCCTAGGCTTTGTGGCTCAGGTCACGTTGGTTGCTACTTCAAAGAAACTAGGAGTCTGGGAGATTTTCTCTTTTTTTATTATTATTTTAATTTTGTCAGACACACAATATAAATGCGCCCATGAATTGTTTTCACTCAGACAAGTACTAAACAGAGTAACAGAGACTATGTTTTGGTGGTGTGAACAGAATTTTTGGTCTGTACTTCAGATTTAAAGGGAAAGTTTACCCACCCTCATGTCAGTCCCAACCTATAAGGTTTTCCTTCTTCAAGAATCTTTTTTGTTCCACAGAAGAATGTAAGTCATACATGTTTGGAATGACATGGAGAAAAATGTTCAATTTTAAGCTGATGCAAAGCAAAACCACAGCCTTCTCATCTCCTTTCCTTTCTTCACTGAATCCAGATTCTTTTAATAGCAAATTTACATTCATATCGCTAAAGCGTTTATGCAAATATCATGATAACAGCAAACAAAGACAACAATGTCATCCAGTTTGAAGGCCAGCCATTTCTAAACCCCTTGTCCCCTTCACACGCTTATTATGGGCCACACGGCTGGGAATAATTGGAGCCGTGGAAGCAACAGCCAGATAAGCTTTGAGTGAACGAGGGCAGGGAGTCACGCTACGGGGATGCAAGTGTGCCAACAACCTGCCATGTTTTTTCACCTTCTCTAACCGCGGAAAAGACCAAGTTTGTTTTTACAGCTGTTCTCACACGTGTCTCTCTTCTTCAATGTCAAGCTTACATATCTGGGGCTGCGTTTACAATCAGCTGCACTCCAAGGCATCTGTGCCATTCCACTGCTTATTATATTGATTTGTTTTGAGCACAATGAGTATTTCAAGGCTATGACTGTACTATGACAAAGCTGGGGATTTTCAATACAGAAATGTTTTGTTGACATGCAATAAAACAATACACGCATACTAACAGGATAAAGTGAAAACAGAGGAAAATCCGATGGGCATTGCTTACAGATTGCCCTCCAAGATAACAGTTTTTAGGTCGGCAGGACAGCTCACGGGGAAGACGTTGTGGGACGTGTTGCGGCGCTCTATCAGCGTAGCCATGGCTTCCCCTAAATCCAAGTGGTTCAGGTACCCGGGGGCCATTCGGTCTGGGGCTGCCACACCCGTATTGATTTTCACCTGTTGGAAGATATATTAAAGACAGGCATCATAGAGGAACAAATAGGATATACTTTCATGACATTTAATTAAGCACATCTACAGTGAGTGTGCATATCATGGACGGAATATAACCCCATGAGCTTGAGGAGAGTTTGATGAGACACACCTGGTTGAGTTTGCATGGCACCTCTTGATACTCTTCACGCAGAACCTGACAGAACGCCAGAGCGCTGGCTGCCCCTATGGTCAGGAACCCTGTGCCCGGCATGAGCAACTTCTCTCCAGCACCTCCTGGATAACACAGAACGCATCAGCAGGGGGAATCATTTACTTTTTGTTGCCACATCTGCCTGCATAATGGTCAGTGGATTGAGAAAATTCACTGGCCATTAAATTCTATTTCAATTTTTAAATGTTTTTGCCATCTAAATCTGGTTCTTATAGAAATCTCTCTCTGAAAATATATGTATATGCATATGTATATGTGACCCTGGACCACAAAGCCAGTCATAAGTTGCATGGGTATATTTGTAGCAATAGCCAACAATACATTGTATGGGTCAAAATCAGCTATTTTTCTTTTATGCCAAAAATCATTAGGATATTAAGTAAAGATCATGTTCCATGAAGATATTTTGTAAATTTTCTACTATAATATCAAAACTTAATTTTTGATTAGTAATATGCATTGTTAAGAACTTTACTGGACAACTTTAAAGGCGATTTTCTCAATATATATATATATGTTTTTCCAGATTTTCAAATAGTTGTATCTCAGCCAAATATTGTCCTATCCTAACAAACCATGCATCAATGGAAAGCTTATTTATCCAGCTGTTATATGTATAAATCTTAATTTTAAAAAATTGACCTTTATGACTGGTTTTGTGGTTCAGGGTCACATATGTATGTTCCATTTTCTTCGATTTATTTCCACAGGTCTTAACCAGACAAACCCTTCCCTTTTGGAAAGGTTCCATCATGGAGGATAAATGTTCTTCAGGTTCCAAAAGTTTTTACTCTTTCTTTCTTTCATTTTTTTATTTTTATTTATTTATTTATTTTTGCTAAGTTTCTCAAAAGAAACTTAGTGTAAAGATAATTTTAATAACCTGACTAAACTTTTTCCACTATAACAAACCTGTTGTGCAATAGAAGGGTTCCATGAATGGTAAATGTTCTTCATGGAACCATAAAGAACCTTTATTTTTAAGAGTACATGCATTGTTGCCGTTCCTAAAAATGTAACCACCTATCTGACCATTGATTTTGTTTTATTGATTTGTGTTCTGAATTTGCCGAGTGATGAATGTGGACTCGAGTAGATTTTTTAATGCTCATTTATACACTGCACTCACAATTATTTTCCACATATAACTACATAACTTTAACCAAATATATGTTTTGGAGGGCAAATAATGATGTACCTGTGATGAACGTGTAGGTGCAGTTAGGATCATCTCTCACCAGTGGAAAGAACGCTTTCCAAGACACAAAGGTGCTGAAAAGCAGAGTCTCAATAACCTGTTGATCAGAGACGAAGAGTTTTGAGCAATCAAATGATGATGGATCATTTGGAGAAGCAGACCCAAGGATGAAAGCTGAGTTCTAACGCAAAATGGCGATGGTGAAATGTTGTGCGTCATATAAGCAAGTATAAAGAATGAGGGGTTGCAAGGGTATAAGCTGCTCTCTCACCCAGTGCAGTTCTTTGAGGGGTTGGGTGTGAGGTGGACCTCCCTGCCACCAGCTGAAGCCCAGAGAGGACACCACATCTGTGATCTTACCCACAGACTTGAGCAAGGCCTGTTTCACCTCCTCTACTCCTTCTTCTGAGCCTGATAGATTAGGAGAATATTTCATCAGTCACAAACAATCCAAAATCAATGAGACCGTAAAATGTCTAGAGTTGCAAAGATAAAAAAAAAAAAACATGCAAAAGATACATACCAACATTCCCCACTAAAGTGGTCAGGTTACATTTTGTGCTAGGTGAAACAAACCCCTTGAGTTTTTCCAACTTGCTGCTGTCTCTGGAGATCACCGCAACCTTGAAACCTAAATATGTGTTTGCATAATTACCACACATGCAATGCAGAACTTTAAAAAAAATACATTTATGCAAAGAAATGTATTTATTTTTTTCATTTAAAGTTAAAGAAAGAAAAAGTTTAATCAGTTTAGAATTAAATTACGGAATCAAAATTGAGATCTGAATTTAAACTAAAAATCTAATAGTAGTGGCTATATAATTGTTTTCCTAATCATAACTGCGCTGAATCTAATTTTAAACTTATAAATAAAATTGTAAGCAATATGTTTAGAAAAATCAGAGCTGGGCAGTTGAGGGCATTTTCTAATTTGCTTAATAATAATAATAGCCTAATAATAATAATTAGTTACTGTTGCTATAAATAATTATAAATAATATTTTTGATTTTTTTAAATAAAAATAATACTTACTATTATATGTATTAAGTGTAAATACTTAATATGCTCTTACCTCTGTCCAGGAGAGCTTTCACTATCCCGGAGCCGACAGTTCCTGCTCCACCGAGCGCTAAAACCACTCTGTCCCCGTTTGACATCGCGCATACAACCGCTGCAGCAGTGCACACGTCTGAGATTGATTATGCTTTATGGGCTTCATGTCTCCTGCTGCTCAAGATCTTTAAATCGAACCGCAGCAACAACGCCACGCCCCTTTCAAAATGACACGCCCACCTAATTATGCATTCCTTTATTCTTTATCACAAATAAATGACCGTTTCAAAGAAACTATTTTACAGGAAAATGATAAATGTTGAACTGAAAAAAATCCTTATACTGTAATAAATAACAGTAATATCATCTTGCCAGTAGAAATGATTCTAATAATTAAGTTTGATACCAGGGTCAGAACCTGTTTTTATACAGTCTATGGTCAGAACTGATATTACCAACAGTTTCTATCATATATTACAGCGCCCTCTTGTGAACTATCACTCGCATATACACTACATTGAGTAATCATTGCAAACTGCACACTGAGCGTGGTATAAACTACGAATAAATTTGTATAAATTATGTTTTTCACAAAATGAGAGAAATCTCTGTTTATTAGACTTGGATTGAGGAATAGTGATCTCAAGATTGATATGGAATACTTTTCATATATGAAACTATTTTTTACCGATTTTATTTTATTTATTTGTATACTCTTATATTTACTTTTTTCATTTACTTGTTTGTTGAGTTTGACGACATTGCCACCCTAAAAATCTCCACGTGAGCCGAATACGGAAGTGACGTCAAAAAAGTTTCTCCACTGGGAGACAGCGACGTTCTTCAAAGCAGTTTGTGTTGGACGTTGAACGTTGATCAGGTAACAAATTTCGTTTATTTAGTTAATTCGTTGCAGTCTAAAGTGAACGGCGTAAGTGTGTCAAGAGCTTTGTTGATTTAAATTTAATGAGTCAGTTGGGAAAATATATCAGTGGCGGTGGTTTTGCCTGGGAAAGGCACAAGATACACAGTCTTTAAACATTTTGCGTAGTTTGTTATTTTTTGTTCAACAATGTGCTGTACATTAAATATTATATTTAATAAAATATATGTAATAACTACAGAATTTTGTAAGACGGTGGTTTTAGATAATCTGACGGAACTGCTTTCGATCTTGGAAGATCACTTTCACTTTGTTGATTTATAAGTAGTAGCATTATAGATGGTTTTTAATAGTCTAAATGTCCACATATATTCAATTACTAGTCAGATTGAATTGAATTTGATATGGATATATCATCTCTAGATGACATTTTCATATAGTTATAGTTTAGTTCTCTTTACTCGACTATCCACGTTAATGACGTAATGCAAAATAGAAACTTGCTTGTTTATGTATATCTCTTGTAAGTGATTATTGTCATGGTTGATGATTATAATTTGTTTGTCAATAAATAAACTTACAATATTGTTTCTACTAGGATGAATTCTGCTAATAAAAAGACAGCGGATGGTCTCATCAATAGGTACCAGACAAACTTGGAGAGACGAATTGAGAAGGGGGATCGAAGTTTGATATGCAGGGATGAGGATTTTTGTAAGGAAGTTGAGAGGCTCCTTCACAGTGGCAATGCCCAGAAGATGCACAATCTACATGGATTAGATTCACTGGCAGTGATGGAAAAATCTCTCCATGCATTTCCCTCTAAAACTGGCCAAATGGGGCTTGAGAAAGTTTCCAAGGCCTTTGAAGTGTTGGAGCTCGCGGCATTAAACCTCTACATCTACCCCTGGAGAAGAGAGTACAGACTGGTGAAGGTATGTGGAAATACTGGTGCTCCACCTACAGATTTCTATTAGTTTGAATGACATTTTGTTTGTTTTCACTACCTTAAAATAGTCTCTTTCTCCTCACCAGATGTTTTCAGGTATGTTCACCCATTTGATCAAACCTGCACTGACACTTCAGCAGGCTAAAGAGCTGTTTGGTTTGCTTGGATACCAAGCTTCAAGTCCTAATGAAGAAGAAGAGTTGGCGCTGAACTCCAAACTAGTTCCTGCTGATTTTTTACTCAGTCTTGCATGTGGCTTCTTCATTGCTCGGATGGAATGCCAGCTGCTACTTTCGGCTTTGGGCTCTGTGGACAAAGGTGTGGAGTGGGTTCTACAGCTAGTCAAGGAGAGGCAGGTAGGCCACAGTCTTCAGATAGCATTAGAGAACACCAAGAGAAAGTCAGATGCTGCTAGTGTTTCAGAAGCCATCCTGACTGGTGGCATGGACGCTGAGCTGGATCTGTACACAGAGCAGGCAGATGCTTCTCACATGATATCCATTTCTGATTCGCCACCTGACTCTTCTTATATGCAACCAAAAGAGAAGCCTTTAAGCAAGACTTTACAGAGAGAGCCCTCACAGTCAAACATGGGGAATAATGAGGATGCAAGGCAGGGAAAATCACTCATCAATCCAGGTCCAATGGAAAGCTTTGCTGAAGATCAAATTGAAGGTGATGCCCAGAGACAAGCAGCAGCAAAATTGTTGTGCAAGTGTATCACTCCAAATCAGTTATATATTTACGAGTGTGAGAACTGCAAAGACATGCACATTTCATCGTGTTCTCGTTATAGAGAGTGCAAAATGAAAGGACATACTTTAGCACTATGCTCAGACAAAGCTGAAGAGCTTTATTCAACACAAGACCAGATTAGATTGGCCAAGGAAAAATCAAAAGATTCCCTGAAAACACATTATTGTATGGATGATCCTACTTCTGATTCATTTTTGGTGTGCTATGAGTGCCAGTTGATCCATGACCACAACTGTAATATTATTCAAATGTGCAATTTAAAACAACACAACGTGCAACCAACAGGAAAATTACAACCCCCTCAAGGAGAACAAGCGAATGCCCAAAAGAGGCACAAATGTCTTTCTGCTGCACATCATAAGCAGTACTCCCAGGAAACGGGTGATACAGAAAGACCAATACCATATCACGACTATTGCTGGAAGGGTGACCAAACTTTGCCTGAAACTGTATGCCTCACTTGTAAAGTCTTTCATTTCTCTGGGTGTCCTGATCGACGACACTGCTCTCAAAAACATAACATGCAAAATGTTAAAACATATTGTGTCACTTGCTTAAGTTTTGACCATAGCACTTTGCAGGTATGCAGGTATTGTGGTGACGTGTATTGCACTCTGTGTTGCTATAAATATACCTTGATGTGTAGGTGTGGAAAGGCTTTCCTCAGACCTTCCTCTGTTTAAAGGTTCATAAAACCCCAGACTACTTTTTCTGAGATTTTAGCAGAGGTGCACATCATAGAAGACAATGTTAGCATCCAATAATTTTAACTATTGGAGAAAACTGGTTAATTTTAAGCTTTTTTTGCGCTATTTTCATCTTCAGGGTTTAAAATCTACATCGTGTTGACGTCACAATTTGTGACACGGCAATGGACTATAGTACATCGATGACGCATCGGTGTCTATTAAATTATTCATGAGACGGCGTGTTCTTATCCTATGAGAAGCTTCGCTTAATTATGCACAACAGCATGTGTTGATTTGCTATGACAGAGTTTCAGACTGTAAGATCGCGTACATTATCTGAGAGAAACGTTCATGAATCGAAGGAGTGTTTGTTTTTGCTTTTTTAATAAGAGTTCGGCACAAATGCGATTTATTCACTTATTGAGTATAACCGTTTTTACAGCTCTATGACACAACCTGTCAAAAGGCTTATATAATCGCCGCAGAATTTACCTTAAAAAGTTATCAGAGGTGCAACAGCACGTTCATGTATGTTTTCGATACAGAGTGCAAATGACTGTGCATTTATTAGTGTTTTTAACTCGATGGGAGCGAAATGAAACTGAAGCTGTGTGTTGTCTGTCTCCCGTCTTCCCCCTCCGCTCGCAGTGCACCACGTCCACTTTTTTTAGCATTTTTTTTTTTTAAACTGTGGTGAGAACTAACCAGTGCTGAAAAAGGGGGTTTCATGACCCTTTAAAAACAACTGTCAGTGTTGACCATGTCTGGTTGAAGACACTGTTTTTAATCTCCAAATAAGCCTGTTATTATTTTGCTAATTGCTCAATAAGTCTGAAATACTGGGTAATAGAAACATGACAATCTGTTACACTTTTGATTTTTGATATCAGCAATGTCTTGTATGATATGATATGATATTAAGAGCCAAATATTACAAGAAAGTAACAAATTTCACTGTAGAGTTGACGATCTCTTACTAATCTATATGTCATACAGTAACATGTCTTGTAACTGTCTGTTATTGGTGAGATTGTGGGATGGCCACTCCAATATTTGATGTATTCAGTTATTGGTATGATGTGTTCTGGAAAATTATGGCTTTGGGTCTTAGCAACAACTCCAACCAATCACTGTGGCTTAGAGTGATATACTGCCCTATAATTATTAAATATAATGTACATGTCTGGTATTATGATTTTTTTAATGGAATTCATATAAAAATAAAGGATCTAAAGGAGAACTCTGCTTGTGCTTAATTCAAATTAAATTCGAAATATTACTTTTACATATAGTGACCATATGTACTCTCATATTTATATGTCCTTCTAAACTGCCTAAAATGTCCAGGTTTTGGCTTTCATGGCTTTACATGTATTTGCATTGCTTTGACTGTTCTCTGTAGATCCCACCTTCTTGCGTGCCATGATTGGTCAATTATGTACAATGCCTGCACACTAATGGTCACAATACTTTTCAGTCGTTACCATCAGAAAGTATGAAAACAATAGGAAAACAAAGCCAAAACCTGGACAGTTTAAACAGTTTAGAACCCTATATTACAAAAAAATGTCCTACTATTGCAGATGAAGTTGTTGTTATTTCCATATGCTATCTGCAAAGGCTAAGTCTAATCTAGCTTGCTTGTAAATGCCCAATCTGAGAAATCATTTCTGGGTGTGAAATGTGATTAAATGTTTGTTTTAGATAACACAGGAGTGACAAGAACATCCATTTTCTCTGAGTTCCAAAGGTAAGGTTGTAATGAAGTTCCCAAAGCTTTATTCATTAAACTCTTCCCATTTTACATTGATGAAGGTTTTACTGTTCATGCGATCGATATATAACACTCCATTAAGATGATCCATTTCATGCTGCAGTATTCTGGCTGGCCATCCACTCGCTTGCCAGCTGACAGGCTCCGCTTTCTCATTAAGACCTTTGCAAAGAAGAAAAACATTTGTTTTGATTTGATACTTTAAGAACATCAGGAAGTAAATCTGCAATGGTTTTAAGTCAAGGTATGGGTTACTTGGGTTACATGTTGAGTCATCTTATTTTATTAATTTTTTTTTTTTGGTTTGACATTTTATTGCACTTTTACCTGAGACTTCTACAGACACGTAGCGTGGAACAGATGCTGAAAACCCACAGATGCTCTCACAGGCCTCTTGGAAGATGACAGTGCGTCCATCTAGTACACGTAACTGTGGGTTTACAAAAATCATAAGAGGCACTGCCACCAGACCCCGAGCTTCAATAGAAGCGATTGAGCTGTCCTCCAGCATTTTCTTTGGATACTCCAAGGCTAGAATTTGTAGAGGAACACCAATCTGGGGTGCACTCAGGCCGATACACTCAAGCTTCCTCATCACCTTGACTAGGGTCTTTATGACCTTCTGCACTTCTGGGTCCTGAATGGCTCCGGGTTCCACCGCCGCAGCCCGTGAACGTAACACAGGATCTCCAACCTGACACACATGATTGTATGGAGGAGCTGGTGCACCTTTGACTTTCCTTTTCATGTACTGTAAGTAGGAGCGCATCTTGATGTTGGTAGAATGAGTATGTGGGTATGCGGTACATGTGAATGGTGACCAGGGCAAAAGAATCCTAACTGGTTTTGAAAGTACATAATTTGTCTGACTTTTTAAGACACAATGTGAAAATGTCCTGCAGTGCCTGAACATGACTGACTGAAAAGCTTCTCTCGTCACCTGCGGGAAAAAATGTCACCAAATACAAAATAATCAATAATGCAATAAACATGCATGCCAACTAGTGAATACGTCAAGTTTTATTTTGACTTAAGCTGAATGCACATTTAAATTTACAAATACATAAATAAGCAGTAATGCATTTTTAAAAAGTAGCTAGATAGAAGGAGTGAAATAAATGATCAAATGTTAGCTCTAAGTTATATATTTATTGATATTAACATTTTTCCAATGACATGACAAAACAATGATTTTAACAAACAAAAAAGTACTCAGTCACTTTTATGAGCAAGTGTCAGTACTCACCAGCACCCTAATAATTCCTTATGTTAATAAATAATTAGAATTTCACGTGCAAATGTCTTTAAGCAGTTAGAAGCATTTCGATGTAAGGACAGACCATTCCGGAAAACGTTACTGACACCGACGACAGTTTGTCTTTTCTTTAAAATAAAAGTATCCAGGTGAAAATAAAATTGTGGAATTATATAATTATAATGAGGTATATTATAAAGCAGCTGAGATGAGACACCTAGATCATTCATATCTTGAAACGGTTCAAACTGAAACAACACTGACAAAAAATGCAATCGATGACTTTTATTTTAGTTACATTTTCCTCAACGTTTACAACTTCCTGTTTCGGTCTAAGTCACGTGATCTAGTCAGCGTGAGGATTGTTTACACGTACGTTAAAAGGACACTCCTCCGGTCATATAAAGGCATAACGAGCTACGTTTTCGATTAAACAAATATTGCCATTAACAGAACCTTTTATGGATACTATATGAAAATATTTTTTCCTCACAAGTAATTATTCATGCTTCATTATGGCAGGAGGATAACAGTAGGCGTTGTCTTATTTATACAATTCTATGCTGACAGTTCTTTTTAGTCTATGTATGGTTTAGGAAATGTATTTTCTCTTAAAATGTGTATTTGTTATTCATAAATGAAAGTGAAATTAAATAGGAGGTGGTCACGTGTTTGCGTCGTTGTAGTACGGAGAGAGATATCCAGAGTACGTACTACATCCGTGATTAGATGAACATGGCGCAGGGGAAACAGGCCATCGGTGGACTGTAAACAAGAGGAAATTTTGGGATAACTTCGACATCGTACCATGCACGTGTGAAATGGTCTCAATCTCGATATACTGGACCACTTGTTCTGCTTCATTGATGACTACGAGGCGACAGATTGAGTGCAACACGTCCAATTGCATTCATAAACATTTCTATAGGACTTCAAACCCCTGAGCATTCAGTGTTTGGATATTTAAACTAAAAAGCCTTGTTTTATTGTGGATGGCATCGACCATTCACGACCAAATGGCTGCAGCTGGAAAAGTCAAACGGAGTAAATATCTGCCCCAAGGCGTTGAGAGGTTAAAAGAGGAGCACAGAAAGGTCAGGACAGGAGTAACGTTTATTTCATATACCACCAATGCATTCCTGCAGATATCAAAGCTTAATGTCCATGCACGTGATCAATCATCAGCATCGATTCATTCGTCGTATGTTTATGTTGTTTTTGCAGGATAGTCGCAGTATTACGCGTTTCGTTCTCTGGAAAGTTCTTTGTGTATCACGTGTTGCTGTTGGCTAGCTGGTTGCAAACAGTTATTTTGCTTTGGTGTATGTGTGTTTCTGATACTTTGCAAAAAATGCACGTACATATTTATAGGCAATGTATCTCAGTAATTATAACAGTAAATTATTCATGTATAGTAGCTAGAAAACAATCTTTGTTCCAGCACATGTTGTCCACGCTGCCAAAATGCATAGAGCAAGCAAAAGCTTACAGTACTGTTGTTACAGTAGGTAGTTTACATGCTGTGAAATTACTCTATGTGAAGGTAAGGGTTACTGACTTATTTATATTTGCATGGTATTTTGAGTGATATGAGTAGGTGAAAGGCAAACAAACTGTCTTTTTACCTATGTGTTGACATTGGAGGATCAACCTCAGCTGGCCACATATGAAAGCTACATTTGTGCTGCTTCATTTAAAATCAACAAGACTGGAAGATTTTTATTTAGAAGATCTGGAAAATTCTGTGTTGCACTGCCCTCAGCAACACGTCTTTTAGTAGAGAGAGAAAAAGAAAAAAGAAAACACATAATGCATGTCTGCTCATGCTGTTAGACATGCTTTATATTGTTTTATTGGTGGGTGAATCTCATAAAGGACATATCCAGCTCCTGTTGCACCTCAATATGAAAGAAATTCTATTTCTATAGACATTTTGCATGAAGAAAGAGTAAGGATAAAGAAAATTAAGCTTACTTTTAGTAGCATTAAGATAATTTGAACTTTGACATTTTCATGACATACAAGTACATTAACCTTTAAATGTTTATTGACATAATGCCAAAACAATTTATTTCTTATTGCTGTAATTAAAAAAAAAAAATTCATTTTTAATAATGGCCGTGAGAGAGAGAGATAAAAGGGAGTTCCAAAAAAAAAAACCTCAAGTGTATATAATGTATAATAATAGGGCAATTATTATAAAGTGAATAAGTGCAAATAATCCTAATGTACCTAAAAAGGGTTTAATTTTGTGCAATGGGACTTGTTAGCTTAGTCTACAGACTCTTATTGACATAGACCATAAACATGCATTACAGGGTACCTTGTCTCAATATCTCTTGAAAAATTTTCAGGACTATTGTTCATTATCTCTATAATGGCCAATTCACATTACCAGATTAATATAGATAATTTAGCAGCGATTGTCACTGGTTGTCTGTGGCATTTTGGGAATCTCAGCGGTTATGAAATGACAAATTGTGTCTGTTTCCACAACAGGTGGTGAAAGATTGCAGAAGTCAATTTGAGCACTGGTGGGTGTCCTCGTGCAATTTAACATGTCTCGTTTCAGACATGCATAACGTTATTATCAATGTATCATGTCAGTGTTTCTCAGGCTGTGACTATTCATTGATGCATGTTAGCTTGTCATTGGTTATTTATTGGTTGTTGAAGGTTTACATTTGGAATGGAAATGCTATTGTGAATCACTGTATAGATGTTGATGGTTATGGCAAGATTTGACAGGCTTTTGTTATATTCCTTTTCCTATTTTAAAAAATTGTCAGTAGGTAGAACAAAAATATAACTTGTATGTCAACAAACCAACAATTTCCTTTTAAGTGATTCATTTTTCTCTCTGACTGTCAGGAAAAAAGTGGAAAATGACTATGAATCTCTTCAAGAGCGCCTCAGGACTTTGCCTGACAAGTTGTCTTATGATATTATGGTGTGGTGGCACTTTTCAATTACTGACGCACCCAAATTAATCTTCACATCTAGATACACAAACATTTTCTATGCCTGCGCAACAAAATATTAAATTATCATCAGAGTATTATTCACACCATTTTAGCCTGTTTTAAGACCTGTTTACATCAAGGATGATAACTATAACCATAAAGTTTTAATAATCATTGTTATTCTATGAGAATAGGAAAGTTCACACCACGACTATAACGATAGTGACATAGAGGAACAGTATCGTTGGAATCACTTTGAGCAATTGTTTCTAGCTGATGAACAATAAAAACATTAACAGCCAATCAGAGCTTGAGCATTTAAAGTGACAGGCAGCATAATTGCAGTGTGCGCTTATAATGCATGTGTTGATTTGGTACCATTATAGTTATCATTCTTGGTGTGAGCAGGCCTTTACTTGTCAGATTTGAAAATGAAGAAATTGAAAGTGTCACTGTTACTTTAAGCCCTGATTGTTTGGATGTTTTTTTTAACATGATAGGTACCATTTGGTCCCTTGGCTTTCATGCCGGGAAAGCTAGTTCACACTAATGAGTTAACGGTGCTCCTCGGGGATAACTGGTTTGCAAAGTGTTCTGCCAAACAAGCTGATGCTCTTGTGGAACACAGAAAGAAACGTGAGTTCATTTTTATTCTATTAAGATTTTCCATTGACCAATTTTGAATAATCCATACAGCTTGACCTGATATGTTATTTTTCCAGATGTCAAAAATACGCTAGATGACTTACAGAAAGTGATGAAGAACTTTCAGAACAGAGCCGACTTTACAGATGATCTTGAAAAATTGACTGGTGTAAGTGTCCTAACCATGACCTCATTACTGTGTGACATTATATGGAAACCTCATACTGAGGTTTTCTCCTCTGGAAGAAACAAGCACGTCCACTCTTTTTTTTAACAGGATACTGGAGATTTTGTAGACATTAGAGAAGAAGTTATAAATGAGGAAGAAGTTACCAAAGGTAATTCTAGTTTTTCAGGTTAACTTGTGTGTTATCGGGTTGTTTTATCTTCTGTTGATCATTTACCCCCTATTGTGCTTTCACAGCAAAACATCGTTTGGCCCACAAAGCCAACTCTAAACCTAAGCAGGAGTATTTGTTGGACCTGGAAGAGGACAAGGAGAAGAAAGAAGGCGATGAAGAGGGAACGACAGGGGTGCTGTCAGAGGAGGAGCTGTGGGCTCGACTTGATGAACTAGAACGTCAGGAGGAACTTCAAGATGAAAGATACCGGTAAAATATTGAATTTCCACTAAAATATTAAGCAGCACAACTGTTTTTAACATTGATAATCATAAGAAATGTATCTTGATCACCAAATCAGCATATTATAATGATTTGTGAAGGATCATGTGACACTGAAGACTGAAATAATGTCTGCTGATAATTCATCTTTACCATGACAGGAATAAATTACATTTTAAAATGTCAATATAATAATATGTCACACTTCTACTGGTTTTACTGTATTTTTAAATCAAGTAAATGCAGCCTAGGTGAGCATAAGTGACTTCTTTCAAAAACAGTAACAAATTTTACCAACCTCCAACTTCCTCCAGTGTTTACAATAAAGTATTGGTGCATAGCATTAAAATGAAAATCAACCCCAGATAACCCAATTATATACTTTTCTTAAAAGAAATGCCCAGTAATCTTATCTATATCACCATAGAGTGCCTTTCAACCCTCACAATACTCAAAAATTTTGGTTTTAATTTCCCATTCGCTTTGTCATGTCATAAATGGTAAAGTACTATAGACTATGACTCTATAGTCAAATACTATAGAAACATATTAGCTGAGCTCCCACACATTTTTTTTTAGAATGGTGCATATTTAGCCTCTAGCCTGACTGTATTAACTTTTCTACCTGATTGTATGCTTATTGTTTTCCATTGTATAGCTGAGACTGTAGCTGTATGTTTATGTGCATTAGAATAACCGACTAATAAATTTTTTTTTTGTAAAGAATATAATAATAATAAATAATATCATTACATCCTCAATCACATTGATATACCCCTCCCCATTCATTTTAGTTTTTAGCAATATTAACTACAAATGAATGCTATGTCCACCCTGTCATGTGTATGTCCACCCTATCGAGTCTAAGTGGCCGACAGGGTGGACATTTAGGAACAAAGACAGACATTTTGAGCTTCAATTAGCATATCAGCTTACAAAAAACTGTGACTAGCTAAATGGTTAGTCTGGTTGTTGAAGATAATTTGGTATATTTAAACTTACATAATTTGAAAATACTGTATTCTAATCACTTCTGGCATATTTTATGTCGACAGGGTGCACATATTAAGCTTTGGCAAAGCAAGTAAGCAAACTCAGATGAAAGAAAATTTTGTCAATTGAATAGTCACCAACTTATTCACCTCAGCTGTTGAAATTGAAATTTTTTGCCACTGAAGAGACAAAAAAATCTGTTGTCCTGATGTCACTAAAGGAGATGGCCTTTTTTTAAAGGGGTGGATTCTCCAATACGACAGGGTGGACAACCATTCAAGGGACATGGACAAACTCTTTTTTTTATTAAATAAAAATATCGTTTTTATTACCAAATGATCAACACACTCAAATTGAGTAATCTCTTATTTAACAAAATATTAATAGGAGAACAACATTTTTAAATTTTATGATTTGACAATATTCTACTATCATTCAAATTTATTGAGCAGTGCATGGGACATAGCAAAATAACATGCATCCCCTTACACAAAACAAAAAAAAATGTAGAAAATGTATCTAAAGAGCCAAGTAATGCTATTGTTATGAATATAAAAACTTAGCCTAATATAACACACCCTTTCATAGTCATTTTTATGTTATGTTATCATGGCAAATGAGTTATGTACAGGACATCAAAAGGCACCATACAGTGATATTGACCCTAATAGTATGCTTATAGATTTGGTCTATTTTTTCTCCTGTTATACTAGATTGGACAGCACAGACACTAATGGAGAAGACACCACTTCCTCCTCAGAGGAAGAGAAGGAAGCAGATGGTGGCAGCGATGTCCAGGTTAATGGCCATCAGAAGGAAAATGGCTGGGTACCGACATCTATCACAAGTCAGATGAACGGCACTAATGGCTCGCACCCTGAGGATGAGGAGGAGGAAGATTGTGATGAGGAAGCAGGCAATGGTCTTCCAACTATCTACTTTTCTCATACTGCAGAATTCAAAAAGGTCAGTCGAGTGCTACATAACCCTCTTAGATAATGTTATAAAAGATGTATATTTCAAATAAATGCTGCTCTTTTGAATTTTTTTTTATTCATTAAAGAATCCTAAAAAATGTATCGTTTTACACAAAAATATTAAGCAGCACAACTGTTTTCAACATTAATGATAAGAAATGTTTCTTGGGAGTAATGACTGCTGAAAATTCAGTGTTATTACAGGGATACATTTCATTTTTAAAAATAAGAAAGGAGAATATAATTATTTTAAATTGTAATGATATTTCACAATATTACTCTTTTTCCTGTATTTTTTATGAAAAAAAATGTAATCAGCCTTGGTAAACCTAAGAGGCTTGTTTCAAAAACACACAAAAAAAATTACCAACCCCAGACTTTTGAACGGTAGTATATATTAACATTTTATTTTTTGCATTGAATTACTTTGTCCTGTCTGTCTTGAAAATAAAAAGGTTTGCATAATTCTTTCTTTCTATCTTCCCTTTTCCCTGTGAAGGTCAGGATAAATACAGGCAAGAACACCACTTTAAAATTCAGTGAAAGAAATGAACAAAAGGCGCAAGCCAAGCGAAAAAAGAAAAGTGGCAAAAGCAACGGCCATTCTCCTCATGAAAGTTACAAGATCACAAGCCCAGCAGACATTTATAGGTGACAGCCTAATGGGAGACATCATTCATCTACTTTTATTGATGTATCACACTGTTTGTTTGTTTATACCGGTTCAGTTTCAACACAGTGTTTGTTTGCAGGGTGTTTGTGGACTTGGTGAATGGAGAGCCAATACCACGCAAGTCCATTTTGAAGTCCCGCAGCCGCGAGAACAGCGTGTGCAGTGACACCAGCGAGAGCAGCACAGCTGACTTCGAAGAGCGCCGTGCTGCTTTTGGACGCTCGTGGAGCCATGATGACGCCACACACAGTGATACCAGCGATGGCATTACAGAGGAGGAAAGCCCCACTGGAACGAGCCCCCACACTAATGGATGCTTTGAGGTACAGAAGACTAACTGCTGTTGGTTTAAGTCAACATGAAATGGAAATTCACCCAGTCCATATTCTGATTGCATGATATTGATCTTATTGTGAATTATGTGTTCAGTGCAGTGTGATTTAAAAAAAAAAAAAATTTTCTTCAAAAACTGTAAATTTTCATCGTTTATATCTTGTGGCAGAGAAAGTACTTTATATTAGGTGGTGTTACTGTTAACTAATATGTACTTACATTTTAAATTAATCATTTAATACAATGCACTTGTTGTGTACGTACATGTTTTTACATTGTACTTGTATTTTAAAAATACCTGCATGGAATTACGTCTGTACACTTTTGACCCATCCCGTACACCTTAACCCACCCTTAAACCTACCCATACCACTAAACCTTACCCGTATCCCACCTCAATAGCACCAAAAGTGTTTTGCAATACAATATGAACATAAGTACATTGTTGCAAGTACATATTAGTTAAGGCCACCTAATATAAAGTGGGTCTGAAAGTATTTTTTATTTCCTTCTCAGTCCAGAATTTATATTAAATGTAATATTTTTTTATGTCTTTGTCAGATAACAATATTCTCATTAAATATTTAAATGTCTTTTGTGTTTTAGGCTTTTACAAGCACAGTGATTGAAAAGGATCCCCTGCCTTGCTCTATCCCACACCTGACCATCGCTCCTCCTGCCTTACCCACAATCCCTGAGAGAAAGCTGGAGGAGGTGGGCCCCGAAGCTCCTCAGGAGCCACCCAAATGGATGTCTAAGTTTAAAGCTACACGGTTGCATCAGAAATAAGAGATCATCTCATCAGCACACAACTTCTGAATTCGGTTTTGTACAACTTATAGACTGACTTTATCAATGGCTGTCCTCTTCCTCTGTCCTCCATACTATACTGTCATCTGTCTTTCTTTTTTTTTGTGACATGCCATGCACCCTGGAAATATTATTTGCTCTATAAGAGTAATTAATAGAGATAAATGATTTCTCTAATGTTTGCTTTTTTTTAAATGCCAGATTTTTTTTTAAAGAGATAGTTCACCAGAAAATGAAAACTGTCATCATTTACTTACCTCTTTTCTTCTGTGGAACACAAAGGAAGTTATTTTGAAGGAAGTCGTTGTTCCACAGAAGAAAGTCATACAGGTTTGGATTGTCATGAGGTTGATTAAATGATGACAGAATTTTCTTTTTTGTGTGAGCTATCCCTTTAATTTATGAAGAAGTTGCACATGTTGGTATCTTTTGTGTGTATTAGTTTAGATAAATAATAGTTAAAAATAGAATGGAAAAAATAAAATGCTAAAATGTTTTCAGAACAAACAAAACGGTAGTGTTAGTGACATCATGACTACTGTCATTGTTGTCATGTGGTCTATGATGTGATTTATTTTGGAAAATGCTTTATCACAGTTTATTCTCATTTTGTAAATTCATGACATTTATGTGCAACTTTGACCTATGGTGGTCATGACATAGCTGCCAGTTTCAGCTTAAAAAAATAAATACAAATTTTATCCCTTCTGAACTTTTGTCTCTGACTCTCCCTTATCTCGTTTTGTATCTTGTTTTTGTGTTATTTACAGAGATTTGGCTTTGTACATCAGCTTTTTTTGTGACATCCAGAAAATGTTGATGTAACTGAAAAGGGAAAAAAATATATTATTTTGACTGTACAAGTGTTTTAGCTGGTTATTAGGGCATTATTTGATTGGGTTTGGTTCGGGTATAAACTTGTACATTCACTTCTGGGCAGGAAACAAGTCGCGGTTCTAGTAATGAAGCAATTCCTTTGTCATCATGGTGTTGTTCATTTCGAACCATTAGAGGGCGCTCAAGCCTTTTACTTTTTTATCTTAAAAAATCTAAGCCAAAACAAACTGCTACTGAATCTAGGGCTCCCAATGTGAAGTAAATGTTACCAACAAACATTTTTAGGTTTGTCAGATTTGGTGTTTTTACATAAGTATTTTTTAAATGTTATAAAACGTAATAAAATAGGTTTATAAAATATTTAGAATTATTTAAATTATTTTCAATATAAATTTTGGGCCAACACACACACACACATATATATATATATATATATATAAATGACAGGGTGTCTTTAACTTAATTGTTAGATTATAAATTTGTGTTGAATGATGCGATATGTCACAATAGATCAATCATGGGCGCATAGCTACAGTCATTTACAAGGTTTGCAATGTGGCATTCAGTAAAAGTAGCTCAGCCTTCTTGGAAACTAGCATCTCAGAATAATCCAAAAACAAGATGACTCAGAGTGCTCCATTATTACGTCTGGCATTTAAAGGCAAGAACTGAGTACTTCTGAGGAGGACTGCCTCCATCAATGCCTTTGTTTGCACCGGTATCAGTCGCTTGTGTTTGACTGCAGATTATCCATCAGCACATTGACGTGGATGTGGACAGGTTCTGAGTCAGCAGCTGGGCTGAACGCAGTTTACTCCATTCAATTAATTTCTGTCTAGAAAGACTGAATGATCAACTCAAATCACATTTTTCTCAAGCATGATCTTCATGCTTCAAATGGCTAGGAGTTGGTTTTTGATGTCACTTAACCAGGGCTGCTGTGAAAGTCATAAGAGATATTTCACATAGAAACAGCGATGTTAAAGAAATATTACACTGAAAAGATGATAATCTCTCACCATAGACCTTAATCAGGTTAAACACCATATTGATTTTTTTTTAAGTTTCTTTTTAATGCAATAGGACAGTAGGAAAGCATTGGGCAGAGAGAGAGAGGGTAACGGGATCTGCAAAGGGCCACGAGATGGGAATCGAGCTCGGGTTGCCGCGAGCACATGCCGTATTAATTCGGTGCACTTAAAGGGTTAGTTCACCCAAAAATGAAAATTTTGTCATTAAAGTCGGCATGAAATCAAAATTGACAATTCTTATTTTTCGATGGAATACTGTAGTGTTTATTATAAATAATTTATCCGTGCACTTCATTATTTTTCTTTTAATTAATGTGTCCTCGTAATCTTTAATCAAAAACGTTTTTTTTTTTCATGAATATGACTTAACCTGATGGAGCATGTGCTCAGTCATTAGTGTCATTTTGAACGAATCTTTAATGTGACTCGGGAAGAACGAGTCGTCTCGGGGAGTGATTCGTTCAGTCGCGTGTGCGCAACATCCTATAGGTTCTGTACTGGAATTAGTCAAGTAGTTCACCTGTTTCGGTTCTTCGGGTTTTCCGAGTCATTCGTTCATCACGTGACAGCCCCATAAGCTTAACCTATGCAGTCTGAGCCGGAAAGA